CTCCTTATCCACATAATCAAAGAGAACTTGTTTTACATGGTTGGCTGGTTGGAAGTCAAAGAGTTAACTTTTTTGATATTTGAAAGAAGTCTTGGAAAACCATTCCTGGCCTTGGTCAGCTCAAGTTTTGAATTTTTTTGTAAATTACGGGGTGGAGACGGTATGGGTTACACAGAGTTTAGAGAACGTACTTGAAGTCTTTGGTGATGTTGTCATAGGTCTTGGGGTCCTTCAGGCGTTCCATAAGGGTATCTGAAGCCTTTTTTACCAGTAGGGGGCACTCTGCGTTCTCTGAGGCCAGCGAACGCCACACAACCTCCAAGTACTCTGGCAAAACATAAAGACAGAGGGAGGTGTGGGCACTTAAATGTGGGCAGCTATAAAAAGACCACAATAATACACATAACTCCTGGTTAAACATACAGGACTATTTTGAGGCACTGCAAAGGCACCAATTCACCTTCAAAGTAGCGCATGAACCCAGCTGTAGTCAAGTGCTTGAGAAAGTATTTATTTAAAAGTGAGGTTGAAAGTGAAACGATGAGTTTCAACCACAAGGAATTTCATAGTTTATGAAACTCTAAAAAGGCAGGCTCCAAGAGGAGAAACTCCATTACAAAATCTTGGAATATTTCCACCTGGAGTGAAAGCCAGGTCCTTACTGCTAGCTAAGTGTACTGCTGTTTCAAGTAATAAGAACTTTGTGGTGCCATGGACTTGGGAGGGAGGCGGAGGAGTCTGACATAAGCACACCACACCACTATTATTCTCTGTGCGTTTTGTATATGTATTTGTTTTGATGTTTTTCCTAGAGTCAAAGAGAATGTGTGTGATAGCGTCTTCAAGATAGCATGAGTGTGTGTGGGTGGAACAGTACAGGTCCATGTTCAAAGCTACCCTGACCTTGATTTTAGCCCGCAGCCTTCCGGAGGAAAACAATGGGCTCAGCCAAACACAACACAGACACAGAGAGAGGTAGAGAAGTGAAGCCTTCCTCGTCTTTGATCTGTCTGGGACTTTTACTTCCAAGACACTGAACAAAACTAGAAAACTGCGGTAAATTTCAATTTAACGCTTGATGTGTTCTACAGAGATGTTGATACAGGAGCATACCGTAGGGATTACAGGCAAAAACAATTTCAAAGAGGACATTTTCTTTGAAGTTGGGTTGTTTGGTGCATAACGTAAAACTGAATTTAAAAGTAAAAGGCACAAATAAATAATCTCACGTCATCCTTAAAGGTATAATTAATTTCCTTAGAGCAAATCATCCCTGCTTTTTCAATAGAGTTTGGAATAAAACTCAACTAAAAGATTATCCAGAAAGGAATGGCACGTTGCAAGAGTTTTAGGCAGGTGTGGAAAAAAATGTCGTAAAGTACAAAAATAGACACGTTAATAGATTATATTTATAAATTTTTAAAAATGCAAAGTCAGTGATCTAAATCCAATCAATATTTGGTGTGATCACCCTTTGCCTTCAAGACAGCGGCAATTCTTCTAGGTACACATTTGAAGGAACTCAGCGTTGCCCGTTTCTTTGTGCTTCTTCAAAAGAGCTTCGACACAGCACATCTGGAAACCCCTGTGTGGCTTGAAAAGTTCTACCTTTGCTGATGCAGTATAACTACCTTGTGACTGTGCTCACTCTTGCCATGGTGATGACTTTTGACAGTAAACTGTCTTCAGGAACTTCCCCTTGTTAGCTGAGTTTGGCTGTTCCTCACTCAGTTATATTCCTCCTGCAGCTTTTTCTTTATCAGTCAATGATTGTGTTTCAACCTATATTTTGAATTTATGAGCATTAGCACCTTTTTGGTATATTTGTTTAATCATACATCTGGCAATATGCGTACAAAATCCCTGACATTGTGTAAGTGTACCTTGCTGTTTTAAATGCAAAGGGTGGTCACACCAAATATTGATTTGATTTAGATTTTCCTTCTGTTCAATCACTTTGCATTTTGTTAATTGATGAACATAATCTATTAGCATGTCTATTTTTGAAAGCACTCTTACTTTACAGCAATAAAGTGTATGTGAGTGTGAAGTGTGCGTGTCTCTTCATACCTGGGAAGTTGACAGTAGCATAAACAGGAGCACTCGTGGCCACAGAGGCATGGACCAGGTGAGGGTATTTCAGCCTGAACCATGCAGCGAGAGAACCCGGGTACGACCCGCCAAACGCCACCCACTTCCTGTTGGTCAGCCCTCGGGTCTCCGACATCACCACACGGAAGTGTGCCAGGTCAGCCAACGCCTGACGACTACTGAGGAAACGCAGATTGTCTGTGCTGAGGTCACTAAATGGAGAGAAGAGAGGAGATGGAAGCCATTTACTGTGTATCCATCATTCAGTCTGAACAATACCACATGGGCCATGCGGGGCTGCCATCTACTGGCTCAACAGCTCCACCAGCATCAGCAGCTGTATACACTAATCACATGCAGCTGGTGGCCTGATGGATTTTTGTCCTTTTGTTGACGCAGTATTGTGAAACCAGAGTTGCTGAAAGCTCTCAAACTAGTGTGAACACATGTTGAGGGGGATGGTAATGACTGCCCTTTGGCACAGGTCATACTGTAAAGTGATACTTCCCTAATCTACAACTTCATTTTACAGTCGGTGACAAATCAAACTGCCAGGGTGAAAAAACAAAACAAACAAACAAAAAAAACAAAACACACGACGTTTTCTGATGACCAACTTTTCAGAAATGTACTGGATGAGCAGAATTCGAATAAACCAGATTCATTAAGATCCACTTTTACTGTACTTTCTTTTCTTGTAACAGATTTGATTGTATCTGCTTTTTGTAATGACTCAAAGGCTTCAAATATTGTACTGTCTAAAGAAGTATTTTGCAGTGTACTTGTGCCAGATATTAATGAGCTGGGCAGATGCAAAAAAAACTAGACAAACCGGCATATACCTCTTCAGTTTAAGGTTTGGTTGTTCTAATAATGTAACTCATATCCAGTAAATGCACACTGTGCCACTGGTGGCCATATTGGAAAGCAGTCTGCACCGCCCTTTCACAAACTGGCAGAAATACTTTCACTTTCAATTAATGGAGTATTTAAAGTATATTTAGGCTATGCAGGACCAGCTGTTTATACATGCTACGCACTGTATAAACATTAAGTCAGATGATCACTGATTGTTTCTGATATATTAACAGAATCCTCTTGTTGCGCTTTCTTCTGATGGACCTAATTTATCTTCACTAATATGCATTGGTTGCTACTGAATTCATTAAACAGAATGTGACGCAAAATAGATGCGTCCTATAGAATCAAAGGTTTTGTGTTTATTGGACAATTTTAGTAAGCTGCCAACCTGACAGGTTAGCCATTTTGGCAGTAAGAGGAGTCAAACTAATGTGATTCCTGTCTCTAAAATTAAAAATGATTCATTTGTTTGTACTGCCACAATTGACCTTCTCTGGTGTCCACACTAGTTCAGAATACATGAAGAAAACAGTCCAGACATTTTAGTTACACTTTTTTCCATTTACCAATATCTGCCTCCTCCTACACCTTTGCATTCTGGCAAATTTTTTGGTTTCGGTTTTGAATCATTTGCATGAATTGAACTGCAGTTCTCTTAGAAGAAGAGAAAGATCAGCATTTCGTGCCATCTGGCATTGTTGTAACCTGTCTGCAAAAAAAAATCCCCAAAAGACTAAAAGCTCTAGAGATTGAACAAACTGATCTGAACAGGCTGGGAGTGAACACCCCTTCACACAAGGACAAAAATTAAGTTAGCAAGATCAAACCTACACAGTCGGGTGACTCTTTCCATAGAAACGATGTTCCAGCATCAAGCAAAGTGCTCCTACTTTCTCAGCGTATGTGAGCCAGGTCCCGTACTGCATCCAGGCTGGACTGGCCGGGCCCTCTCCACCTATCATCAGAAACACCGGACCACCTGGCTTGTAGAAGGCTTCATTGACAAAGTACCTCTGAGGGAGAAAACAGAGACGAGTTATTCAGAGTGGGAAAACCCACAGACAGGGATATGTCAGGTTTGCACCAGTATATCTGTAGTGATTATAATAGAACTTTTTGACAGATGGAAAAGTGCACAGTTATACCCTTGTCTACCTGTACTAGCTGGGATCATATACTAACTTATCTGGGTATAATTTATAACTCAGGAGAAAGCAAGGACTAGCTTAATCTGATGACTTTTAAAATATATATTCAACCCTTGTAAGGATATGCAAACAACAAATCAAACGACTTAATACCTGCTTCCACTCTCTGCTGTCTGCACCATTGAAGTGATCAAGCTTCTGAGTGAACCACTGCTCTTCAGGCAGAGCTCTCCGGCTGATATCTCCCCTTGACTCAGCTTCCTGAACCCCTTATACTTTCCTTCCCCGACAACAAAGAGAGAAAACAATAAGGTTACTTTCCACAGAAGCAACCCACACGGTTGAAAAGCCATGTTGATATCAGAGGGAAGAGGGAAACAGACATGGGCGCGTGATTTATTTGCAGGTAGTCATATGACAAGTTCTTCTGCTGCTTTAAATGACACGCTAAACATGGGAAATATGATTTAATTCGTTCACATTTCCGTGTACAACTGTAGCACTTGCAAGACACACATTCTCACCATGTATGATTGTTAAAAAGAGAAAATGGTCGACAGCTTCTATTATTATTATTATGTATTTAATCGAATTGCTTAAAACTGATCGACACACATTTTGTTGAATGTGTGTATGTGACTCTGCTTTGTATATGGCGTCAAATGTATCACTCCAGACGTGGATGCGTAAACATACTACTCAATAGCACCTCAAAGTTGAAGTTTTCCTTCGGGCCTTAAAACTGTTTTGAACGGATAATTTCTATCTTTTCACCGCGAAGCCGTTGCTCATCGTTTTCCCGTGTTTTGTAGGACTTGAACTACCCCTAATGCCAAATCACCACCAGCAGGGGCGGTAAAGACAAACCACAACACACTTTCTATACTGAAGAAGAAGAGGTCCGCTCAGTTACCTTTGCTAGCCGACAGTTAATAGAGCTGCAACCATGGAGGAGGCAAAAAAGAAAGAGAATAAGCCATCCGAAAAGACCGATGAGAAGGACAAAGACAAAGAAAAGGGGCAGCAGTCCTCTGGGAAGGATAAGGATAAGAAAGAGGAGCAGGAATTGGTAAGATGGGGGTATTTTCCTCATTCAAATGTGTCCTACCTAAACATACATGAGCAGTGGATGTGTTATTTTGCCTTAGTCACTGCCGCAGTGACAACATGGTTGAGCAGGCCGGAGTCATTGCCACTCATAGATGGATGCCTGACAGACTCAATTACTTAAAATATTATTCTCATGTAAATCACACACTCTTATTTGTTACAATTTCGTGGCCCTGAAAAGTCGTAGAGAATGAACTCTCCCAGTTAGCTGCCTTTAGCCTAGCTTAACGCAGCCGGTAAGCTAACGTTAGCTTGCTAGTTGTCATAGCTGTTGGCTGTACTGTTAGCTTTTCTCGCCGAAGTGCTAGCATGCTCCGCTAGCCATGTTTAACATTAGGTAACGTACTGTATGACACAGCAGCTAACATGAAGTCAAATAAACATTTAGGACACTTATTTTAAACCAACCTAACGTGCACTGTTACAGCAGGTTTGGCAGTTTAGTTTGCTAGTAGTTATTCTAGTGTCACTGGGCAGATGTTCTGGTTAGTGGACTGCAAACATGGATATCTGTCGCTGTCTTATGTATGCTTTGTGTAATATTTCAACATTCATAGTTGGTTAACATGTTGTTGTTCTTACAATGAACAAAAACACACCCTAATAGGTTCAAAGATAGAAGAGTAAACTAGTACCAGATGTTGAAATTCAGTTAAAAGAAAGGGCTTTGGGTCATAACATTTTATTAAATAAACTATAGTTTAAAATAGCTGTAAATGCTCCAGCCAGGCATTCACCATTTAGGTTATATATGAATGGACAGCTACATTAGAAATCAACTAGGACTTCTGCCCTGCCAAAGTAGCTAGTAGACACAAAAAACACTTTACTGTCAAAGTTCAAGATCATTCAAGTGGTGGCTTGTGGTAATTTTTCATCCTAATTGTGTATGCTAAATGGTATACAATGCTTGGCATCGTGCAGCGACAAGGTCATTAGGTCAGTAAATTAATTTTTCATAATTATTTGTTCCTATGGCTTTACTGCAAGTATTCAAAATAATTGTCCAATGTACTATACTCAATAGCAACAGCAGTATGGTTGTTTTCAATGTAAGGTGTTAATACAAACAGCATTTGTGGACAAAGGCAGTAGTGGCAATAAGCCCTTGTTTAAAAATAAATAAATAAATAAAAATAACAGACAATTTTATTCTGTCCTTTCGCTCCTTCTCAGTCAGAGGAAGACAAGCAGTTACAAGAGGACCTGGAGATGATGGTGGAGAGATTGAGTGTAAGTATTAGATTTAGCTTAACAACTATTGTGTGTCAGGGTGTAAAAGCCTACAAGGCAGAAAACTCACTTTTTTTACACATTGGCAGGAGATGAACACAGCACTGTACCGTCCTGCATTGGAAGAGCTGCGCAGACTAATCCGCTCCTCAACCACCTCCATGACATCAGTGCCCAAGCCCCTCAAATTCTTGCGCCCGCACTATGGCAAGCTCAAAGAGATCTATGACGGCATGGCTCCTGGGGAGAACAAGGTAAGGACCCAGACCCGAAGGTCTACCCAGTGGTTCTCAACCTTTTTTGGACCAGCGGCCCCCTATCCATTATCCAGGTCCCTTACCGGCCCCCATCAAAAAAGATGTTTGCTTTGCCCTGAATATTGTAGATTTTTTTATTGTTATTAAAAACATGGAAAAGGTAACAAAAAAGCCATGTGAAAAGTAATTATATTTAACTAATAAGTGAATGTTCCTCCCAGAAACTGTGTCTGAAGCCAGATACTGTTTTCTTGGATGGGGCACTTAATAAGTGGGGGGTATGGGGATCCTCCCCCAGAAGATTTTGAGCATTAAACAGTTATTTTCCTGCATTCTGGTGAAAATTTCTCCTCCAATTTCTGCCTTTTCTACACCAATTTATGGTGGAAATGTGTAAAAATTCAGGTGGCAGGTGACAATTCAAAATATATAATCATATAAGAATATAATCTAGTTAGGCTCTCAGGCATTCTTATTGCTTTTAAATATTTTCCTCCTATAGATCAACTTATTTAAAATTAGCCCTGCTGAGTCAACACACATGATTAAGTCTTACCACCACTTTTGTGGGCAAGTAACCTATTTAAATGTGTTTGTGGCCCCTTTTCATCTCAGTAATAAATTAATCCGTTTTAATTCAGTTATTGACTGGACTTTATTAGCTCATCTGTTAATAACTTATCGTAACTCAGTCTTTTCCCACAGAATGACAGTGTAACTGTGGCGCGGATACAGCGTGCTAGCCTCGAAAACCCAGCTGTTTTCTAACATTAACTTGGCTCTCCTTATTAGCTAGGCTCTTTACATGCTTGCTAATAACTTTTAATAGCTGGGTCTTCGACATTGACAGCGTTGTGTTAGACAGATTTGTGCAGCTGTATTAACGAGGGAGAGAGAGCGAGGGACGGATGAGAGAGACGAGCGAGAGGATGTGCTACACGAATACGCACTGCCTACAGCTCAAATACGATTTTAAATAGGCCTAGTAAAAAAATAAAATAAAATCAAAAATCAATATGTGGCGGTCAGCACTGATATTGTGGCAGGCCGCCACAAATAAATGAATGTATGTGAAACTCTATAACTTATCTGCTCATGTTGAAAACTCTCTGCACATTCAGAATCTCTCCCACATATCTGAGTTCTCTAACATGTAAAGAAAAAAAGTCGTAATATTACGAGACTAACGTCATTAGCCTATTTAAAGAGAATTCATAATATTTTACTACATGCTCTGTACTGCATTATGTTACTGATTCGCTGGAAGCATCCCCTCGCCGTCTAACTGACAAACCTGAATGAGACGAGGAGGTGATCATGCTGGGGGAAAGCAAAACTAACCGACAACACCTGTGATCAGACAGAAATCTCACGAATAATTCCACACCTCTGATAAAGTGCCGCTTAAAGTCCCCAACAGAGCAAGACAGGGCTTCAGTTTTGAACGTTACATTTTTATAGCCTACTGAAACTACTGTATATGTCCGCTTTGGCACAAACTGTCTGCGACTCACAGCACGAGGTGGGTCCACGTCACTCGCTGATGTCGTAGCTAAGTTACTCTCAGGGTGAGTCCGACTGCGGAATATCCCTCTTGTAAATGTGTAACCACTGCGATAACAAGACGTTCACGTTGTATTCCTCAGAGAAATAAACACTTTTCCACCAAGCAAGAGAACGTAAATTTTCCAGAGTTTACGCAATAAACGCCATGTGGGTAAAAATTTAGAGATGATACTCTGACTTCGTGTTCCCGTGAAGGCAGCACAAAGCTGCACCACAAGTAGCTGATGGAGAAAAATACAGTCTCATCCAGTCGCAGTGGACTAAACAGGCAGGTTTTAATGTTGTATGTTTTTTGCAAGAAGTTTAAAGTTTAAACTCGTATTGTTAATGTTAAGTGTAAACTTGCCTTAGAATTTCCAACCAACAAACGCCCCCCCAAAAGCAGCTCAGTGGCCCCCGCTTCCAAAATATTGCTTCCAGCGCCCCCCATCGTCCTCGAAACGCCCCTGTTGAGAAACACTAGTCTAGACCCAGGCATGAGATGTATGGTGTAGAAGCTTCCTTACCAATAATCACCTGTTCTGTGTTTTCCTCAGAGTAAAACTGACAGCAGTATTAGTTTAAAACAGTGGGTCATCTTTATATCTTTTATAACTTTTCTCAGTCTGAGTGGTTCTGACCAGACCAGGCATCTAATCGAGACCTGTGTTTATTTGTCAAAATGTGTTCCCTCACCATGTCAGTAAACGGGGAAGGCGGCTATTTGGGACTCAGCTATTGATTGAAGTTTTACGGTACATTCATTAAAAATTACAACGAAGCCTCCCTCAAAAGGAAGAATATCGAGGCTCCATCCAGTGTGCATGCACCAAGACCAAAAGAAATGGACACTTCAGGTGCTTCTTAAAAGATACTTTCTTATCATTGTTAACACAGTGCATGTCTCTGAGGAAGGTGTCTGCTCCTTATGATTCAGGAATTCATTCTTATGTTTCACATTTGTATTTATTATAGTTTAAGTTCTCATCTTTGTTAATCAGGTATATATCCCATTTAGTCCAAAACTCTTCTCCCTTTTCTTTCTGTAGTAACCGAATATCATAGGTTTAATACTATATATGATGATACAATCTATCCATTTGTTCAGGGTATTTAAGAAGCCAGTATCTTGTAATTGCCTTCTTGCTTTTCTTAGATATGTTTCCTAAATAGAGAGAGGACAAGTGACCTCTAATATCAAATCCTAATAAACTGTTAGTGGTGGCTTAAACATCAGCCCAGATGCGTTGTAAGATGGGGCAATGGGGCTGTACCGAATAGTTTGAAGCTTCAGTCATAATGTCAACATTTGAATTCTAAATCAACATTAGAAAACTATGCAGCTTCTTAATTGTATAATTTTTTTCATGCTACACTATTATTAGTATTATTTATAGAATTAAAGATTCAAAGCTTCATTGGAAAACCTCCAATAGAAGCTTCTAATGCAAAAAAGGAGGGGGGTGATATTTGGGTACATTACCATTAAGTGCCCATTAATTGTTCAACCCTATCTTTTAATTTCTTGATAAATATATTAGTTGTTTGGACTGTACAACTACTACTTAAAAAAAACAAACACATAATTTCCCTGAGCACAAAGTGATGTCTTTTTAAATGCATTTTTGGACCAAGAGTCCAAAATGATATTGAAATGTAAGACTGTGAAAAGCTGCACATCCCTGCTTTTGAGAAGCTGGAACTATCAAATCTTTAGCGTTCTTTCTTGAAAATGTACCAAAATAATTTATCAAAATAGTTGCCTATGAATGTTCTGAAGAGCAAGAAATCAATTAATTGTCTTATCGTTGCAGCTGTAGCCTTGACTACAGACCCGTAGTTTAAACTGTAGATGGTGTTTGTATTTGCAGCGTTTCTGTGCTGACGTGGTGTCAGTGCTGGCCATGACCATGAGTGGTGAAAGAGAGTGTCTGAAGTACCGTCTGCTAGGCTCCCAGGAAGAGCTGGCCTCCTGGGGACATGAATATGTCAGGTAAGACACGACTCGACATCATCAGCCAATGCTCGTGTGGTTATTCGCGAAGCTGCGTTGTAAACAGAGGAATGCAGAGATTCTTTTATGGTATTTATATAATAACTATACAAGAAAGATTTGTACTGCTGATTTCTATCAAACAATTCAGTTCTGTTTTCAATTGTAATTAATCATGTCATGTAGGGGTGTAACGGTACATGTATTCGTACTGGACTGCTTCGCAGGACTTTCGGAACGGTGCACATGTGCACTGAAACATCATATATTTGGCTTGTTTTGTGTGTGGAACATACGTAAATTCCGAGTTTCCACACAGACACATTAACTAGTGGACCAAATATCCGCCTTACAGCACTGTAAGTGCTCCACACAAGCAGCCGCTTAAGCCCCGCCTCTCACTAACTGGTGACTTAAGCATCATGGCCAGACCTTGAAACCCCTTCCTTATTGTTAAGGTCTTCTGTTTGGGAACACATTGGTTTCCAGTGAAATACAACAACGAACAAGTCAATAAGACGAAAGCAGCGGGCCGACATTTGTCAGTAGTGATCAGGTATGTTTCTAGCAACACGTCAAACTTGCTAACTCACTACTAGTATCACACAAAGGAGAACGTCACTGTAACAAGGGAGAAAAACAAAAACGAGCACAGTGCAAACGCCTTTCGGCATTTAAACAGACTTTAAACTTCGGGAAAAGTTTTTTTTAAAGTTTTTTTTTTTTTTTTTTTTTGTCTGAGCAGGCCTTCAAGCTGGGATTGATAATGCTCATAGATGGAATAAATTAATAAGAAGAATGCTGCACTGTAATTATATATTTTACTATATTTTATTAGCTATATGTGGTATTGTTTTGGGAATATTTTATTTAGTGGAGAACTTGGTAGGATTTATATAGGCAGTATTTTATTTTATATAATTATCATGTGTAATTTAAAGTTTGTTTAAAAAATTACTAAAAGTAAAAAACTAAATTTGGATGTTTACAAAAGTTTGTTTACCTTATGACTTCAAAACTGAGGTACACACCGAACCGAGATTTTTGTGTACAGTTACACCCCTAATGTCATGACATATTGTTGACAATTGTTTGGTTTGGAAAAAGAGACTGAGTTTCCTGAGTACAATGTCACCATAAGACTCATTGTGTGTAGAGTACAGGCTAAAGGTCACTCTTCTGATTTGGAATTTATGACTTAACATGACTGACATTGGGGAGAAAGCTTTTATACATAAACTGGGCAGATGCTGGGATTTATCTTCTCATTGAAAACAAGACATTTTAATATCTTTGGACACCTATTACTGTATCTGCTGTTTGCCTCATTTCTTGGTGACAAATACGCCACCTTTCTATCTTTCGTCTTCCAGGCACCTGGCAGGTGAGGTGGCAAAAGAGTGGCAGGAGGTGGAGGAGAATGACAAGACACAGCAGGAAACGCTGTTGAAACTAGTGAAAGAGATTGTGCCCTACAACATGGCCCACAATGCAGAGCATGAGGCGTGCGACCTGCTGATGGAGATTGAGAGGCTGGACATGCTGGAGGACTACATCGACGAAAACGCCTACGGAAAAGTCTGCCTGTACCTCACAAGGTGTGTTCAGGTTTTACACATTGTTTGTAAAATGCAAACCTTATTTTTGAGCGGGTTGTCAAAAAGAGGAACTCTCTAAACTTTCTACCTCGCTCCTCCAGCTGTGTGAGTTACGTTCCCGAGCCAGAAAACTCAGCGCTGCTGAGGTGTGCCCTGAACATCTTCAGGAAGTTCAACCGTTATCCAGAGGCCCTGCGCCTGGCCCTGATGCTCAACGATGTGGAGCTTGTAGAAAACATCTTCACATCCTGCAAAGACATGTAAGGACTTCAAAAACACTAGAGCGTACAAGCTGGTCACGGTAATGATCAAAGCTATTAACCCATCAAGTCAGATGAGCACAGCATTAGTTAAAGGATAGGTTCACATTTTTTGTTTGTCTTACAACAATAGTCAGGTGTCCATACTGGCCAGGTCCTTTCCTAACATGCTTCCAATGTGCATGATGGAAGACAAAATTCACAGTACATTCCTGAAGCCGTATATGGCTTCAGCAAAGCTTGGAATGTGTTTTTTAGCACAGAACAAGGACTCGTATGAACAAGAGGAATGTGAAAAGTACATACTTAAAGTTTATTTATTTATTTTAAATCTGTGTGCCTGCTGTGTCATATTGTGAGACGTATGAAAGACAGACTCTCTCTGCCTTGCAGAGTTATCCAGAAGCAGATGGCCTTCATGCTGGGTCGCCATGGCATGTTCCTGGAGCTTAATGAGGACGTAGAGGACTACGAGGACTTGACAGAGATCATGTCAAATGTGCAGCTCAACAGCAACTTCTTGGCCCTGGCCAGAGAGGTAAAAGACAAACACCGGAAGGACATTGGGGACTGAAATTTAATACTTTTAACTGTAAAGCAAATTACTAATTCAAGAGTTGTGGTAAATGTGTGGACTTTGTAGGATTTGAATGTTGTTGGGTTTTTTTTTACCATGCCTAGAAAAATGTGTGCTTTTCTTTTATTAATTACACACTTGTCTCGTCATCCCCAGTTGGACATCATGGAACCCAAAGTCCCAGATGATATCTACAAAACACACCTGGAAAACAACAGTAAGTCCATCTGCATGTTTTTTGTTTTTACTGAAAATTATTTTTGTTTTATTAATCATTAACTGATTGGCATTTTGCATGACCTCCGTGCTGTACGCAACAGGGTTTGGAGGCAGTGGCTCCCAGGTGGACTCCGCTCGTATGAACTTGGCCTCTTCCTTCGTGAATGGCTTTGTCAACGCTGCCTTTGGACAGGATAAACTGCTCACAGACGACGGCAACAAATGGTTGTACAAGAACAAGGACCACGGTACAAAAAAAACTTGGATGTTGTAGTACTCTACAGGCCCTGTAGCCATTTTACTCAGTGCACTTTTCTTTAGTCTTATCTAATATATAGACATCCATTTATTTTATTTGGGATTTTTGTCTTTCAGTGCATTTTATTTGATCTTGCAGTGACTAAAGATGATATAAATGTCCTCAGGTATGTTGAGCGCTGCAGCCTCCCTGGGTATGATCCTGCTGTGGGACGTGGATGGCGGTCTGACCCAGATTGACAAATATCTCTATTCCTCTGAGGACTACATCAAGGTAAACATCGGGCTAAGAAGTATTGGAAACATTTCTATAATATACAGTAGGTCATAGTACTTTCAGATATGGTGGTAATATCACAGCCATATTAAGGCATATCATTAAAATATCACTACCTATTTTCCCCCATGTCTGCTTTTTCGTAATGAGATGTCACTACAACACATTAGCTTAAGTTTAGAGTAGATTGGACCAGGATAGCTTCCTTACGGAGTTTTAAATTGAACTTTTTTTAACAACTTATGGTCTGTTATCTACTATTATTACCCAGGAGGAAAAAGTGCCTTTCTTGTTTTTCTTACACCCACGTCATGTCTTCCTGTGCAGTCTGGTGCCCTCCTGGCCTGTGGCATCGTCAACTCGGGTGTGAGGAACGAATGCGATCCAGCCCTGGCGCTGCTCTCTGACTACGTCCTCCACAACAGCAACATCATGAGGATAGGAGCCATCTTTGGGTGAGGAGACCCATGTAGGCGGTTAAACATCAGACCATATGTGCAAGGACAATTTTCTAAATTATACAAGGAAACTTCATCCATCCGTGCAGTATATAGCTTTTTAGTTATTATTTTGTAAGGGTTTCTGTACTTGTCTGTACCTGTCTCTGGTCCTTGTACTGCTGTTAACATTTAGTGGTCAGTAAATCTTATGATGGCACATTATAGCTGCGTGTCTTGATCCTTGTCGTCTTGGTTTCAGTTTGGGCCTGGCCTACGCTGGCTCCAACAGAGAAGATGTCCTTTCTCTGCTTCTCCCTGTCATGGGAGACTCCAAATCTAGCATGGAGGTATGGATGATTGTTTTGTCTAAGAGGCTCCTCTTGCTTTACAAATGCTAAGTTTAGCAACATTCAAGCGTGTGTACTTAATCTCAAGGTGGTTGGAGTGACAGCGCTGGCATGCGGTATGATCGCAGTAGGATCTTGTAACGGTGATGTGACCTCCACCATCGTCCAGACCATCATGGAGAAGAATGAACAGGAGCTAAAAGACTCTTATGCCCGCTGGTTGCCTTTAGGCCTGGGACTTAACCATCTAGGTAAGCGTGGGCAGCCACAGGCCTCAAAATGATTACCGTTTGTGATGCTTCTTAAAGGTTCAGCTTTTTCTGAACCTTTATTTTGGTCAGGAGCTTTTCTTCCCTTCACCTATGATACAGCTGCCGTAACTACTCTGGTTGTGTTCTTCACTGTCCATAGGTAAAGGAGAGGCGATTGAGACGACCCTGGCAGCTCTACAGGTTGTACCTGAGCCTTTCCGCAGCTTTGCAAACACACTAGTGGATATCTGTGCATATGCAGGTCAGCCTCATAGTACTGTCTTCCAGCCATTTAATAGTTGTTTCAATGATCTCAATTCCTCAATCTCTGATTTTATTCACTTCTGTGTAGGCCAACCATTCACAGATCTGCCTGTAGTGCAGTGTCTGCTGATTTTGATCTTCAAATCTGCAAAATCTCACTGTAATAATTTGCCTCTCCCTCCATCTCAGGTTCTGGTAATGTGCTGAAGGTGCAGCAGCTTCTCCATATCTGCAGTGAGCACTACGAAGCCAAGGAGAAGGAAAAAGAAGAGGAAAAGGACAAGAAAGATAAGAAGGACAAAGATAAGAAAGAGACTGCTGCTGACATGGGCTCCCACCAGGTAAGGACTAACTTATTACCATGATTATGCTTAAACATCAATTATTTCTCTTTTTTTGGTAGTTCCTTTCCTTTATCAGCTTTATTATGGATGCTTGTGAAGTTTTCTATCTGGGGGGGAAAGGAGTTTAATTTTGTTTTTCTCTCAGGGTGTAGCTGTTCTTGGTATTGCCCTGATTGCCATGGGGGAGGAGATTGGTTCAGAAATGGCACTGCGAACATTTGGACATCTGGTCAGTAGCTCTTCTTACTGTCAGTTTCCTATTCTCATTTGACTGATTTACTGAACACGTAATTGCTCTACCTACCTCAGTTCTACCAATTTTGAATCACTGTTTTCCTTCCTCCGAGTCTGTTTTAAAGAGACCTTTGTGTTGTTGTTTGTTGGGTATGTTGACTTTAAAAGTGCTATCAGACCTTTACATTCTTTTGATCCATATTGTATCATCTCTATTTCCTCCTGCTCCATATTTTCTCTTCTCTCTTTACTGTTATGATCTGTCATTTGTCACTCTGTTCTTACTCATCCTGATGTCCTTAATAATTCTGACGAAGACCATAGCATAAAGTTCCTTAATGGCATGTGTCAAGATACATAGCTATTATAGTTATATTACACACAGTTTACTGTGTTCTGACATTTCAAGTAGGCAATTAAAATAATTAAGGCCAGATCTTTGTTCCTCTCCTGGCCTTTTAGTGATGCATTTACACATTTGCATTTATTTTCTCTGTATTTATATCATCAGCTGCGTTATGGTGAGCCCACCCTGAGGCGAGCGGTGCCTCTAGCCCTGGCTCTCATTTCCGTGTCCAACCCTCGTTTGAACATCTTGGACACCCTCAGCAAGTTTTCTCACGATGCTGACCCTGAGGTGTCCCACAACTCCATCTTTGCCATGGGCATGGTGGGCAGTGGTAAGTGGAATTATAGGCTTTAGATAGAATAATGTCAACTGTGTGTTAACAGCTGTGACGATGCTACACCCTGTAAGAGTGTTGTCAGAATTTTTGACTCTAGGACCCAGAAGCCTGTTTTTATCTATAAATAAATCATGTAAAGTAATTGTCATGTTACCAATAGTAGTATCATGAAATAATATTGACAAACTTAAAGTGATACAAAATGGAATTAATAAAATCTTGCTTAATACATGAAGCCTACACTATTTAATAATAAACCCTCATTAAAAACTTTCTTAAAAACAAACTGTGTTAAAAATGTTAATATTCATGCACCGATATCATACATTACCTGCTGAAGGTGGACAACTTTAAATTTCGGGAACGTTAGAATTGCCGTGAATATTTCCATTTCAAAATGGCTGCTTATTTTGTGTCGAGGCTTGGTGTGCTGAAGGTTTTTAAACTCAACAACTGAAACTGAACTGGAAAACTTTTGAATGACTAATGCACCAGTCATGATGAAAATGCACTCATTTGCAATTTGAAAAGCTGACCCACTGACATTTTTCACCAGACATGTCATTGAACACTTCAAGGTGTATGTTACATATTTGTCTCTCTGTGATGCACAATAACGCCTCCTCTGGGAGTGCCTCTGGTGTTAACTTTCTCAAGATGTTTAACAGGCTCTTCATTTTTTCCATTTTCTCAGGCACAAATAACGCACGTCTGGCTGCCATGCTGCGGCAGCTGGCCCAGTATCACGCCAAAGACCCCAACAATCTCTTCATGGTCCGACTGGCTCAGGTGGGTGGCAACACAAAAGGCACTCTGTACCAGACACACAAGTGAATTTTTGGGAATGTTTGTGTATGAGCTGCTATTGACTGGCTGCTGTTTGTGCCTCCACAGGGTCTGACTCACCTGGGCAAAGGCACACTGACACTCTGTCCCTACCATAGCGACAGGCAGCTGATGAGTCAGGTCGCCGTGGCTGGACTGCTCACCGTGCTTGTTTCCTTCCTCGACGTCAAGAACAGTCAGTACATTTTCCTCTTGCTGCTTTTTGCATCTTAATTTTGTCCATTTCTGTTTTTATAACTTGAAGGTTGTACTTAACTGTGTTAATATTTCCCCTGATGTTTAATCTGTGATTACAGTAATCCTGGGGAAATCGCACTACATTCTCTACGGCCTGGTAGCAGCCATGCAGCCACGTATGCTGGTCACCTTCGACGAGGAGCTACGACCACTGCCTGTCTCTGTCAGAGTTGGACAGGTGAAGCCTAGGAAAATTAGTATCTGTATAATTAGTCTGACAGGAATGTTTGTAGAAATTCTGCTATTTTCCAATTATTGTATATGGCAAGGTTACTCTGTTCATGAAAATATAAAAGAAACTGCTCTACTATACTCACAAAGGTTAAGGTATATTAAGAATATTCAGACATCTAAGTATTAGTGTAGACCACCTGACATATTCAGCCACAGTAAATATGTTGTTGAGAAATGATGGAGAATTGTGGTCTGAGGATGAAGGGAAAATGCTGTTTAACGAATATTTATATATGTTTTTTGTCTGATCTGTCTTCAGGCTGTAGATGTTGTGGGCCAGGCAGGTAAGCCGAAGGCCATCACAGGTTTCCAGACCCATACCACGCCAGTGTTGCTGGCTCATGGGGAGAGGGCTGAGCTGGCCACAGAAGAGTACCTTCCTGTCACCCCCATCCTGGAGGGCTTTGTTATCCTCCGCAAGAATCCCAGCTATGAAACCTAGACTGCGCCTATTCTCACTGACCTCTTGCTCTGTTTGTAAGGGTAGCCCTCCAAGGCTCTTGGCAGTTATATTTAGTTGTTTATTACATGGCTGAAAAGAGCATGGCAGGCCTATCCTTCTTCCCCGCTGTGTCTTCTCACTCCAACCCAGCTTCAGCAGCCATTAGAAATGTGGTTGGGGTCTGGTTAATTGGTCTGGGGGCACTCGGGGAGGGTAAAACTGGGACCTCATCCACTTTACATAGATGGTTTCCTCATTGCTCTTATTTTGATCCACCCAGGGCTAGTTCCAAAGTGGGAACTGTTCACCAACCTCCTGTATATGTCATCAGTAAATGGATAACAACTGCTCAATCCTCATCAGTGCATCAGATGTGTTTTTCCCCAACTACTTACATCCTCAGTCATGTTTTGTAATTAGAGCAGTTTAAAAGTATGTAATCTTCATCACGTTTTTCTTTTCTTTTTTTTTTTTTTCTTCTTTGGTTTTTGTTACAGTACTGTAAAAGTTTAAATCAAAAATAAAAAACTCCGATCCACATGGTGGAAATGTGTTGCCTGTATTTTTATTTAAGTGCAAACCTACAAGTGTATGTCAAATTAAGGAGGCTGCTTCTCCAGAGGGAGGAGCTGTTTAGCTAGGTGAAGGAATAGTGTCGGGTACTATACACACTTTTCTCTACATACATATATACACTTGTGTATAAATTTATAGAGGAAAGTAATGGCAGCAATTTGGAATTGCGGATTTCTACATAGAACAAAAGCAATAGCAGTGACATTAGCATAGGTGTGTGTTGGTCAGATTTTTTTCTACATACCTGTAATAAACTGATAAATTGTAACTAACTTTCAGTGGATATTAAATACTCAAACAGAACTGCAATAAACTATACACATTAAATAAGTACAATTTGTTTGTGTTTCTAAACATCTGTACAGCAGGTATGACACTTCCTCTGCATCCTTCTCTTAGGCCAGGTTTTGGATTGATGCCATCAATTAAACTGCATCCTTGGTTTCGAGTCACTGAGTTCAGTTCACTTTAAGGACATAAGGGTTTTGTATCAGAAGATTTGATTTATTATTGACAGAATTGCTTGGTGGTTGTTTTTTTTTTATGTCAGTTTAAAGGTTAGATATGCTGTAGTGGCTGTTTTAACCAAGTCATGCAATATAACATGCAGGCTTGTCCCATAAACAATGGCTAAAAGTATTTTGCTTTAGCTCAGATTTATCCCATGAAAATATTTAAAATTTTAATATTTAAACTCCATGCAGACCAGTTATTGAACCTATAATATAACGCATTATTTAACAATAGCCATTCTAATAAATGGCGGAACGATCTATATAAGGTGTCTAACGCTCATTTAAGTTTAAGTCAAATTACACATTTATATGCAAACCCTTTATCAGCATGGAAAATTATTTTTTGTTTTGAGAACAAAGAAACATACAAACATAGTAAAACGTCGCCAAGCGTGTTTATCACATGAAAACACAATTATGATAAACCGGACTAAAAAAAAAAGAAAAGAAAATACAGCGTTTACAGCCGTTGATGTGATTAATGGGAAAGTTTCACGTGATGGGATTTTGCCGGAATTACCTAGCTACCGGCTTCCGGGGAAATTTTCCGTCCGTCCGGCTCTGCGGACTCAAGGAGAGAAAGGTAACGACTACGGTCCTGAGTTAAATTCTTTAACAAAATGCTTATAATTTCAGATGAGTATAAGGACGCTTTTACATAGAGACTCGGGAAGGCCATTCACATGTACGTTTCGCCTTTTAGTCTGGAGATATACTTAGATGTGGTGACTTTTTGAGTGGTTGCTGTTGGTGCTCCTGCTGTGTTTTCAGGGATTAGCTAGCTAGCTGCTTGCTAGCATTCCATGCTAATGCGACGTGGGTGTTCTTTCTTCACTTTAGCTCCTCCGGCTAGCAAGCTAACAGTAGGAAACAGCCAAGGTGAGCCATAACTCGTGTGACGCTTACAAACATAGAAACGATATATTGTGAGTGTTGTGTATTAGATATGACACGCGGAAAATAGGCACAGCGGTGCTGTTCTTTTCGCCGGTTAACCTAATTCATGCTGCTAGCTACCCAAACGGTTGCTAGCTAGCTACACAGTATGCTATAGGCAGCAGTAGGTGAAATCACTGGTTGTGTCGAAGCCGTTCCCTGGGGCAAGCCTCGTAGCAGAAAGTGGTGGAGCTTGTGATCTCACACTAGCGAGCCTGGCTGTATATAAACAGATGTCTTCTGATCGTTGTGATTGTAAATAACTTGTATGCTGATAACTTCATACCTGAAACCATGTGATGGCGATGTAACGTTGGTGCCAGCAATCTGAAACCATTTATGTTTGGCGGTAAAGTAATGCAAAGGTTATCTGGTTGTGAACATTCTGCATGTTCATGCAGCAGGGTCTCTCCGTTCATGAGCCAAGCAAACGTTACTACTCTAGGTACCCAGACAACAATTAACATGTGACAGTAAGTTATGTGATGTCACATATTTAGTGGCAATTGAAACATATTTAAATGAATCATGAGACACTGACGATTTATGCTTCCCTATCGAAAAATGCTACCTTAATGCAAATTGCTAACGTTTAGCCCTAATCCTAACCAATAGACATGCAAAGAACTGCCAAGGAACACATCTCGATAGGTAGCATAAATCGACAGAACACCGGTGGAGGGTGAAGAGGGTTGGACACTGATTTGACAGGACAGTTGTTTTGAACCTTGAATCCGGTGACACCTTCATTTGAGGCCTTGCTGAGTTGGTTGACAGGTCGCTGTGCCTTCAAGTTAGGCACTGTGATGGAAGTAATACTGCATGGGGGATCTTTGTAAATATGGCATTTCCCATCATCTCCCACTGAACAGCATCCCCTGTAATGCATTCATACTAACGTAGGCTGTCGCAGTGGTGATGTTGCTGTTAAACTGGGCGAGATGCTGCGAAACCGAGGTGTCTGACTCATTGTGGCTAGTTACAGTAACGTTACTTTTTTTTTTGTCACGACACTGTAGACAGCACTGGCTAACTGTCTAGCAGTTAGTTACTGAATTTAAGAAGCATCTTGAGCTATTAAATACTAATGTGCGAGCTAATAGCCAGTAGCCACCTCCTCGGCTCGCTAGTTATCTAGGTTAGAAACGTTGCTCCCATTCATTGACACGACCGCAGCCACGGCTGTCGTCACTGCCGAGCCCTTAAAACCTAGTGTGCTTGGTGTGCTTGGTTATGATTTACAAGAAATAGATGGTTGTAGTAGCCGAAATCAGTTGAGGTGTGGCTGGAATGAAGCCGGCAGCGGGGATGTGCATCGCGCCAATAGCAGGACAAACCACGTGGTAAATCCAGATTGGGCCTAGGAAAGTTAGCAACAAGGCTAACAGCACAACACGTCTTCGCACCCACATTTGTAGATGTTTTGGCAAGACCGAGCGTGTGTATTCTAATGCCATGCACATTGCTGTCTGTGTCGTGTGTGTGTGTGTGTGTGTGTGAGAGAGAGAGAGAGTGTGTGTAGACGGGCAGACACGCCCCTGTGTCGTAGCAAACGTGTCCCACAGTTGAAGCCGACGAAACACCTGGATAGTTAGCATGGTATGATCGTCGCAGCTGTCTGACACTGACATTGTGTCAGATTGTTGGTTTAATGGGAAGCATCGCCGTTGTGTTCATTTTTAAGCCGTTTGTTGATCACTTCACCCAGCTTGCTGCGGGAGGCCTGAGGCTGATGTGGAGGACTGCAGACATGTGACCTCAGCTGAGAATGTGGGTCCAAAATGGATGCAGTTTTTTTTTATGCATGTCAGCGGGCACCATATAGCTAATCTAGTAAGATGTTCATTCCATCAGTCAACCAGTAAATCATTCAAACTTTATTTGTATAGCAACTTTTCATACAGGTCAGTGCAGTTCAAAGTGCTTCACAGATGACTGACAAGCCGATAATAACACAGATGTGTAGACCATAATAGAGTGAAACAAAATCTAGATAAAAATTAAAAAGAAAAGGTAAAATGATTGCAATAAAGTAGATTTAAAAGCTATGCTAAAATAGAGTTGGATAAAAGCTAGACTAAAACCTAGATAAAATAGATAAAGCTAATTAAAAAAAGCAAATAAAACATTAATTTTAAATAACTGATATAATAAGATTAGAATATCTGATTACATAAATGCAATAAAATAAGTGACTACAATACAGTAAATACTGTTTATAAACCACTCTTAATCTAAAAGCCAGACTGAAGAGGTAGGTTTTAAGTTTACGTTTAAAGATTTTAACACTTCCAGCTGCTTTCCGATCCTCAGGCAGACTGTTCCAGCCGCTGGTGGCATTAAAAGTTAAAACCTGCATCATTAAAGGTTTTAGTCTTACACTTAAGAATAACTAACAGGTGAGTGCCTGAGGATCTGAGGGGCCGTACCAGTTCATAAACTGCGAGCATGTGAGACATGCTGTATATGCTGGTGCAAGACCATAAAGCATTTTGGAGTTCTGAATCAGCTGTCGCTGATTTAAAACGTTTTTGGGTCGACCAGAAAGGAGAGAATTTCAGTAGTCCATTCTGCTCGATATAAAAGCGTGCATTAGTCTGAATCTGTCTGTGTTTGTAGCGGTGTTTCCATCTGTGTTTTCTAATGTGATACTTCAAAATGCGCACAAAAATACATTGACGTGACCCCACGTGACATTTAAAGTTTAGTTCTGAGTCAAAGAACACACCAAGGTTGGTTGGCTTGTGGCAAGTGCAAGGGAATTTAATATGGCATTAAGTTTCTCTCTTTAGAACCTGTGACTAAAATTTGTCTCTACGAACATCCACCTTTACGGCCCATCAGTCCAGGACAGTATTAAGCTTTAGCCAGAGTGAATGAATGAATAGCAGAAGTGCAATCATGGGAGAAATGCATGATGTGTTAGAGCTAGGCTGTCAGTTTGCCTGACATAAGGACACTACTGAGTTTCCTGTTGTGAAACTTTAAAGTGTAGAGCCTGGGCATGTGTGGGTTTTGGCTAAATATTAGTTAACCAGAGGAAGGTGGGGGGTGCTGGGCCGGACAGGCTGTGCTGGTGTGATGCTGTGTCACTCTGACTTAACTTTCACTGTTTGTACATCCTTCTCAGCTTAAAATGTCTGACTGAAGCTACATTTGCTGCTTGTCACTGACACTTAATGCTTGGAAATGTGATCATGGTAGTAACCAAGGTCAGCGGCAGAGCAATATTGTGAAGAATGCATTAGATCACATAACTCCTTTTCAACATATTCCTGCAAAAAATGAGGGCCGCTGGGGCCGGGCTGCCCCTCTTTGCAAGTTCTCTAGTGCTGCAGACTGCTCCCAGAATTTGTACTAATCACTCATTTTCTGCAGACTAACCTGTGTGGTGTTGACAGCAAGCGTCACTTTGACAGTAGTTGTTTAAGAAGCCGGCCACATCTCACTCCTTCAGGGTAAAGCATTCCCCCAAGCTAAAGGTTTGTGTGTTCCCCAGTGAGAGGAGTAATGCCTGT